TCCATTCGCTCACTCCCATCTGCGAAAATGGCGTCTGTGACAGCTCGCCGTCTGCTCCTTTGTGGTCTCTCCCTGCTCAATTTTCTGTTCGTCTTCGGAACCGGAGCCGAGTTCGTCCGTTTTATCTCATTCCGAGCGATATATCACAACATTACCGGAGGACCTCCGCTGTGTCGCGGTATGTCTGGGGGAAACATACAGCTATCAGCAAAAAACATAGTGACGGCAGGCAAAAACAATTGCAATATATATACTTATTAATGTTGATGTATGGCTTTGTTATAAAATTTTACTTATAGTTAGGGCTATCAGGGATGAAAGTTTATCTTAATTTTAATTGACTGTGTTACTAATATGTTCAATGACAAAAGGGCTGTATTTGCATTACAGCATTTTATTCACCACTTCAACGAATTAATTTGTTATACGATTTCAAGTTTCGAACGCGCAAGTTACGGATTTTGTATCTTTGTTATATGCTTCATTGAGTAGAAATTGTAACATTTCAAAATGCTACACGCTAACCAACCAGTTTTGCAACTAACAAGGTAGTTAGTTAATTACCATATGACCTGAAGCGTAAATTTGCCCCTTCAAAACGATTATTACTTTTAGTATTATTTCACTGTTTCTGCGTCTTTTGAGGTTTAGGATCTCTCTTTGTTTGAAATAAATGCGTCGTTAAACAGTTTTCGGTATTTATTGCGTGGATGCAATACAATTTTAATAAAGACAGCTAAACTTGTATAAAATAATAATAAAAAAAGATTCACAGGCTAAAATGAATTCTAGATTTAAATTTAAAAATTAAAATTATTACAATTTTAGTTGTCGAACTTAGTGTGAATACGTGATGACCGCTCAAAGCGGAATGTTTACCAGTGCCCGGCTAGCTCAGTCGGTAGAGCATGAGACTCTTAATCTCAGGGTCGTGGGTTCGAGCCCCACGTTGGGCGTTAGCTTTTTTTCCCCTCCACTTCATACTTAAGAAAAATTCATTCATGCGCGTAGAAGTCAACCATTGTTTTTATATATTGCAAAAATATATTATAAAGTGTTTCATAACTTGTATCTGCATACTGAAATACTATGTGATAAATGAGATACTATGTCGTTAAGTCAAACCTATTTATTTAACCTAGTTCTTGGTTGAGGAGAACTTGCAGCTGTTTCCGTATATCTTTGTTGTACTGTGATTTTAATACACATAACTTTTATTGGTACCTCTTTAGCTTGTGCTCTACCGGCTCAGCCCACATAGTAACAGTGTGACTTCAATTTGGCTGTTTTTTCTCACTATCTCCCTTATTTATTTGAAACGAATAAAATGATTGAAAACGTAACGCAATAAAATGCCGGTGTCACTTGAACGTATTTATTTATGCGCCACCTAGTGGCAGAGCGCGAAAACCGGTACAGTACGCGCTAAAGCAGAACCGTTTTATTTCTGAAATGATAGGACTGCTTATTTTGATGTTTTCTGTCTCCGCTAGATTCTGTGTCATGGTCCACAGCCCTTCGCGATGGATCAGTGCTTAGGGCTGCGGGTGTGGATCTGGCTCTGGTGGCTCTTTTTGCCGCCCAGCACAGCTTGCTAGCCTGGGCTCCCGTCAAACAGGCTCTCCAGTCCGTTTTTGGAGTCCTGAACCGAGCTGTGTACTGCACCAGCACTGCCCTGGCACTCCAGGTAGTACCCTGTCCTTTTTTGCACGTTGGCTGTGTGATCGGATCACCAGAATATTATATGCTGAGAATATTTAGACCGTTACCAGGATCTTGCTGTCAATGGACTTCGTTGTTATCAAGCGTTGCAGTTTTTCTTTGGATGACAGTTATGTATTGTTGTGTCTTATATATGTCTGCTAGGTATTTGCATTGGATAGTCAGGACATGAATTGGTTACAATGAATAGTGGCACAGTAATTGCTGTATGTAGGAAAAAAATACATTTAGTTGTTAAGGGAACACCTTTCGAGTGTACGTCTAAACTAAAACAGACACCCCCTCCCATGTCCTTTAGCACTGTTGCACCTGCTGTGCAGCAGACCACCAGAGGCACATTAACCTGGTCAGAGCCCCCCCTACTAAAGCTCAGCTGTGGACCGTCCAAGTAACGGAACATCCTAAGCAGAGTTATAGTGCTTTTGCACAAATGCTGCCACCTGCTGATTATATATAGGAATTTCATCTCAGGCAGGTCTCATAGGCAAGAAAATTAATAAATTTGGATGGAGACAATAAGAAGGCAACACAGTTATGCATAATCTTTATGCCATGCTATTCTTTTATCTATGTTTCCCCTGCTGACTCAGGTCTTGATGCGATGCTGGCAGCCAGTGACCAACGCCCCATGTCTCTGGGCAGTGAGCACCGTCCCCTGGGACACGTGGTTTCCATTGATCTGCTTCACTCTTCATTTCTTGTGTTGGGCCATAATCTGCAGCATACTGTTAATTTTTGACTATCCCGAACTGCTGGGGATTAAACAGGTAGGTGCACGTGTCTGAAATCCAAATCTCTGTTGTACTTTCACTCTCCTTTTCCCCACTTGCTCATTACTGGTTATTTAAACTTCAGGTTTATTATGAATGTCTCGGCTTGGGCGACCCACTGTCCCTGAAGTCACCTCGAGCCCAACGCCTGTATTCCCATCTTCGTCACCCCGTTTGCCTGGAACTTGCCGTGGTCCTTTGGCTGCTCCCTGCACTGCCTCTGGACCGGCTCATCCTGGCAGGGGGTCTGTGCACCTACTTGGGCCTTGCACACTCCCTGGACACACAGGACTGCGAATACCTCAGCGTCCAGCTTCACAGCAAGCTGAACCTGTTCTCGATGTCACCGGAAGGCCAGGCAGGGTCCACCAATCACAAACAAGATTGAGGTCTGTCTGTCTCTCGATCTGGGAAGAGGAGGCAAGAGCAACTGTACCAGTCAAAACTTCAGGCCATGCATAATAATTGGTATTTCCTATATGAAAGAAACTTATAAATACTGTAATGGCTGTGTGATTAATATCAGAAATCTATTCTACTAAAATTAGTATAATCTGTGACAACACATCCCAGAAGTTCACAGTATTGGACACGAGATGCATTCCTTTGAACGCAGAGCGTTCATCCCATGCATGCAGAGCTACACTTCATTTTAAGCAGTTTGTTCCCCAGCCAATTACTTGAAACTGTATTTTATATTTAAAGTCTGAATGTATTAATGTTGCTAATCAAATGAGTTGGAGATAAGTTTATGCAGGACTCGCCAACTGGCAAGGAAATGTTTAACTGCACACCAACATGGCAGCTGATTGGCTGCCACTCTACAAATTTAATAGGTCATTGATGCATCGAGTCACTCATGTACAGCAGAAAAATGTACATGACTGATTATTTAAGAAATTTGGGGCCTGTCCCTTTAAAGGAAGTGTAAGTGTCCCAATCTGGATTGGAGACAATAGTCTCTGTGTTGAAGGTCTAATATGTTAAATTTCTGAACTTGTCAGCATTTGTAGTAGACTGAAGATACTTGGCTTTTTCTCAAAGTGTTGTGCTGTTTACTCTGCTTTGCGTCTGTCTGTTGGCTTCGAAGGCAGAAAATGCAGTAACTGCATTACTGGCTACACTCCATCCTGTCGCTCCACCCCCTGCGGCTTCATTGGGTTCCTTCTGGATGTTCAGGGCCAATCAAGGGAAGGGAATATCGTGGCACATCGGTACTTGGCTCCATGGATGATGTTATATCTAACACAGGAATTAAACTTGAATTGCAGGACACATCGTTGAAATCTTTTAGGAGTTATTAAGAAGTATGGCTGATACAATGATGCAACATTGGGCTTTAAGTTGAACTTGAAACTTCAGTAACATCACTGGGAAATGAACACCTATGTTTTGAAGTGTGATTGTGAAGATGAACTAGGATGCAACAGAATGTCATCTTTTAAATTCATTGTAACCTGAATCACCTGTCCTTTGAAACGAAAGTCCATACCTTTTCTTCTCTTGCTACTCCATTTTATACTATATTGTTGTTTCAATATGAATACAATTTTTAAAATGTTATTTTAAAATAACAATTGTCATAATTGTAAGGTGAAATACAAGAGCAGTACCGTATGCGTGTAGTTTAATGTCTGCAAACTGGCAGCTCAATGACGTAACAGATATTACCAGCCTTTATGGAGTTTGTGTGCCATTAATTTAAGCACAATGCAAGCGTGTGCATGTTATTAAATAGTATTTCAGGCCATCAGCATGTATTCATATGTAGTGTAGACACCATTGTTGTGGCTTTGCCAGAATTTATTAAGATGAATTGATTGTATTGGCTGATTTACAAAGACTTCTGGCTCTATGGTAGATGGGTCAAAAATCAGCATGTGTGTATTTTAAGACCACCCGTTTGTTTTTGTGGATTTTCTTATTTTAATCTGTTTCCAGACTCTTCATTGGTCTTCTCTGGATTCTTCACCTGATTCTTTATTATCTGTTTTATCCCTGCCTGTTGACAGAAGATGTATTTTTTCCTTGTTGTAATATATTACCTGATCAGAGTCTTTTTTTTCCTTTAGAGAAGGAGCCAGGAATTTGATGTGTTTGTAAACCGAATGCCACTTTTTCATGTTTTATATGTAATGTATGTGCTGGAACAATGGCACAAAATTATACCAATGTGCATAAACCTCCAAAGTGATGTTTTTATGCGCTAATGATGAATTTTTACTAAGCGTGTCATGAATTTGTAGCTACACTGAGACATTTAATACAGTATTTTGACTATAAAATAATTACAAAATGATAGCATTATAGCTTTATTTCTTTTTTTAATAAACAAGATTGATAAAAGTGTGTCGTTTAGTTTGTTTATTTATTAACAAAAGTAGCACTACATACATTTTAAAATATATTCGAGGGGCTTAGGCGTCTTTTTAAAAGTCTGGGCATGTAAGGGCCTTCCTTTTGGAAGAGAGCAGGTGATGGAGACTGACAGACGGATATTTACTTTAAACGTCTTTACTTAGGTCGACGGAGTTCGCAGTATGGCGCTTAGGCCTACTTCTGACTGAGAAACTTAATGTTATTAGCGGATTAGCGACAAATGACAGGAAGATCGGTTTACTTACTTCATTTTTTGTACGACTCATGATGTGCTTATTTCTTCTCGGCAGATAAGTAAAACAGTTGTAGGCCTGTAGATAGCTATAATATTCGATAATCCACGCTATTGGACAATCAATTAACAGGAGTAAAGCCGCTCATGAAGGAGGTATCCGAGGTCAAAGCAATTTCCAGCCGCTTTTAGACGCGGGGACTGCGGCACCCCACAGAAAGGGCACCGGCACCCGAAGCGGCTTAAGGGAATCGGAGTTTAATCCATCCAAGGCTTCGGTAAGTGGAAGACATAGGACGGAACTGCTGAGTTCAGAATTTGGATATTCAACCTAATTGTGACAGAAGCTGATCTCCATAGCCGTTAGTAGTCTACTAACAATGTGCCTGAGGGAATTGTTAAATGACTCATACAAATTCTACTTATCAAGCTAAATCCCCCTGTTTTTGCTTTGTTTTAGTTTAGTATAGTTATGGGTGTATGAGTAATGCATACAGCTGCCAAACCCTGTCCATTTCAGCTTCATATAAAATGGAAAGAGGAAAAAAGAATCCAAACTGTGGTTGTGACTCTTCCTCTCTCCCTCCCACTTTTTCCTCTGTCAAACAGTAAGTTTCCGACCGTTCGAACGAGTTCGCTTTCTTTAGGATTTTGGAACAAAAGATGGACTTCTTTGTGTTTTAATCTGGTTTTGCTCTTACCGCTCAGCTAATATTTTTCTTTTAAGTTTCTTTTCTGTCTTTGAATCAACGATGTGAATATGTGTGATCGTGCTTTTTGGCAACAAGGCAAAACTGGAGTTTCCTGGAAAGTGATTCCAGCAACTAAGAAAAAGAAAACGGCAAACATCATATAGACTGGTAGGATAATATAATTTGTCGATTAAGGGTGTAGGCTACGGTATTTAGCTGAAATAACCGTTATGATTTCATACATGCTCCGCCCTGTTAATGTTTTAATCTCGTCTGTGAACCGGGGATCGTAAAATAATCCGATATGAACTAGAAGTATTTTTTTTTTACCTTTTTGCACTTTTTAAAATAACAATGCTGCGTTGCTTAAATTTATATTTTACTGTATACTATAGATTATATGGTGGACCGTCTACTTGCCCAAAGTGAAATTCTAACGATTTCATCATGCATGTAATTCTGTGTAAGTCTTCAAAAAGCCAGCATCAGTGGAATAAGTAAGATTTTACTGTGCCACATATGCAGAGAACAATATCTCAGAATACATTTAATAGATTTTAATTAGGATAAATGCGGTGACAAGTTTAGTGTGAAGACACTGAAGTCTTCTGGGATACAGCAGATAAACCTGTACAGGATTTACTTCAAAGTTGTTGGTATCAGATGCTGCATTACTGGTTAAATGTGTGGGTAAGCATTGTGACAAAAGCTCATGCAGCTTCTCTGATCTTGCCAACAGGAAACAGGAAAAGAATAGGCAACCAGCTTGAAGCATAAGGGGGAAAAAATTGTCCTAGTTGCCATTGCCACCCGCAAAACTCCCCTTCCATTATGTCGATCCCCTCTCTGCCAGAGTGGAAACGGCTTCTGTTGGATCGAAAGAGGAAGGGAGAGGAGACACGGGAGAGGCAAGTGCGAGAAGATGAGAAGAGACTGGCCAACATGCCTGCTTGGAAGCGTGAGGTCATCCAGCGGAGGAAAGCAAAGCAGGAGGGTGATGGGGGACCCCAGACCGTGGATGGCAGGGTTATCGCGGAGAACACAAGTGAGGCGGCGCTGCCCAAGGACTCCTGGTCCACCTGCGCTCAAGGGTTCAGAAATGGGCCAGAACCTCAAAGCCAGGTCTCAGTGGAGAACATAGGGCCGGTCCAACACAACCCATTCGTACTCTCACAGAATGTATGGAGGGGTGACAGAAGGGAGTGCAGGGAAGACCTTGGGCCAGACAACAGTGCTGAAGGTGGAGTAAGGAGGACAGGAGAAGGAGATCCATCGAAGGAGGAACAGAGTGAGGAATTTGGGAGTTGCCAGAGAGATATAGACTGTGATGGAGAGAAACATCAAAATGTAAAGTGTAAGAGAATGGGGAATGGAGGTGATGGCTTGAGGAGGAAAGGAGGAGGAGACAGAGAGCAAAAGGACCCAGGCACTGAGTATCCCGTCTGTTCACTGTCTGTCCCTTGTCTTAGGACTATCCAAGCTGAACATGTCATCACTGCTGAATTGGAGATCAGTGCTACAGGAAAGAAGGCGCTGGGAAATAAAAGGAGGGAGGAAGAAATGAAACCGTCTGCCAGTGTAAAGGACAGGAGTGAGGCATGCCAACCAATGTATGGCGAGAGAAAGGGGAGCAGGTCAGGAACAGGAGCTAATGAGGAGAGGCATGAGAAAGAGGAGGTGATCAATGCACTGGGAGAAAAGGAGGCGGTGCCTGGAGGGGATAAAGCTAGGAGCAGAATGAAGGTAGGCAGGATATGGCCCAATGTACAGGTGAAAACAGGTGAGAAGGCAGCAAAAGCTGACAGGAGCATTAGGGAGGACATGGAAGCAGGGGCCTCAGCGGAGAACTTGGGGCATGTCAGCCGGCTGCTGAGCAAATTCGGAGAGCAGTACAAGTGTCCATTGCGATCCAAAAGCATGGACTGTTTCACCTCTCATGATGAAGGTGGAGGAAGGGGGAGTATGGAGGAAGAATCTGCCCTCAGGGAGAGGGAAAGCTGGGCCCAGAGAAAAGAGGAGAGGGAGGAGGTACAAGGCTTCACTGTCAAGGGGGTTCCAATGAGGTCCTTTAGGTTCTCCAAACATGTGGTTTCTGACACGGAGAACAGGGCCGATGATGAAGACTGCATTGAAAGGAAGGTGGTAGAATTGAAATACTCTGGCAGGTGGGCACCACAGATGGAGGGCTGCCAGGAAAGGAGGAGGGTCAAAGGAGATGAGTGGGGGCACTCAGAGATGGTGCATCAAGGCCGTTACCAGCTATCCATGCAAAGAGAACCAGGCCTGCCCAAGGAAACAGGAGTTGGGGAAGACCCAGACGTGGGAGAGGGAGTTTCTGAACTTGGTGGGATGGGTAAAGCCCCAGAGAAAGAGTGGGATAGGGAGAGGGCGGATTCATCTGGGTTAGTCAAAGGGATAGATGCTTTGGCAGTGCTTGGTACCAGGGACACTGAGATGACCCTGAGATACAATGAAGAAAGAAAGGATGGTAAGATGGAGAGAGCATGGTTAGGAGCAGCACAGAGGATGCCAAGGGAGAGTGAAATGGCACACCGTGAGGAAGAGGAGAAGGTACCAGCTGTGAGTAGGAAAGAGCAGCCACACCGGAATATTAATGCAGTTCCAGAAAGGCAAGACATTCTAGGGAAAGAGAAGTTCAGAAATGAGTCATTGTTTACAGAACGCACAGACTCCTACCACACGGCATCTAAGAGGCTAATGTGTGACATGGATCACCACAGCTGTTTGCCTGAGGGGAGGTCCAGAGAGAAAAAACCAGAGTCGGGGGATGGGGGGGCCTGCACAACACTGGCACATGGGCCCTTTCACGGGGGAGGGAAGGCAGATATGGATGGAGCCCTCAGTAGGTCACATGCGGATAGAGAAAACACCGAGGGGATTCTAGATGGAAACCAGGATAGAGCAGTGGCTTCTACCATGGACTCCAGTAAAGCAGGAAATGCTACAGCCATGGGAGAAGTTCTGATCCCAAGAACTCACTTTTATGTGCGAGAGAGAGGATCTAAGTTGTGTGTCGCAATGCAGGGGAAGCAAGAAAGGGGAAAGGTGTCAGTGTGGGGGGGTAACTGGGAGGCTGGACAGTCACTTCAAGAAGCGATTGGGCAGAGCGGGCCAGAGAAAGTAATGGAGGGTGAAGGAGAGTCTAGGATTGGTCTGGGGAGCAGGTGGGAGGCGTATGCAAGAGAAGAGGAGGATATGCAGGGTAAGGAAAGGAAAATGGAAGAAGGTGGGAGGAGGGAGTTGGAGAGAGCACTGCGAGTGAGAGAAGTGGTTGACCAGCAGCAAGTCAGCCGAGAGGGGAAGGAGACTGTAATATCAACAGGGAGTGAGAGAGTCGGGAAAATACAGAGAGGGCCTTGCGTGTACACATCCAGCTCTCTAGGCGTCATACAGGAAGTAGGCTTGCCCAAGCCCAGCCCCCCACTTCCTGCTAATGTCTCACCCTCACAGTTACTGCTAGCTGCAAAAGCAGAAGCCAGGGCCTCCTCTGCTGCTACCCCTGTAGCGGCCGCTTCTCCTCACATTCAAGAAAGACAGGAGCAAGAAAGACAACATGTAGAAGACTCTGAGAGCAGCCAGAAGGGGAGACGTTTCACAGAAGAAGGAGGCAAAGAAGAGGAAGAGTGCGCACAGAGTCCGTCTCCTTCCCTGACTACCTCCATTGACGTCCCTCCATCCTCCTCTTCCCCTACTCTGCCCTTCGTCGTCAACATGAGCCGAATTTACAACCAGAAGCCGGTGGTCCCCAGGTCCACGCTGTCCATTGGTGAGAGGAAGACTGAGAACATGTCTCCAACTCTCAAGGCACAGGGGCGGGAGTCTCCGTTACAGAGCCATCGCTTACCACTAACGCAAGACAATCTCCAGCCCAAAGGAGAGATACTGGAGCAACAGAGCCTGCCAAGGATGGAGCTGAAACCAACCTGGTGGCAGGCCTGTCAACGGAAGCCAAAGGAGGAGATGAACACCCGCGGCCAGGAGGCCCAAATGCAGACAGTGCAGCAGCAGGTTAAGCTGTTAAAGCTAGAAGCTGAGCCCCAAGCCTCCAGCGAGGCCTCCAACCAGCAAGAACTGTTGAAAGGCAGCCATTTAGGACTAAAAGACAGCTCAAAACCATCACCGCTCCTGCAGCAGTATCAAAAAGTCAACCAGCAGACATTTCCAAAGGACCAGGAAACTAGTAACGGGACAAAACCTACACAGCAACTAAGCAACCAGAAACTACCTCTGAAGCAACAATCACCAAATCAGTGTCAACCGTCCAGATCCTTCACCGTCAACCCTAAATCTAGTCCTGTCCTTGAGAATCCCCCTCAAATCCAGGAATGCAAAGATGTGGTCACCCCCTCTGCTTCTCTGTCCCCTTCTTCCTCTTCTCCCTCCGCCCTCCCAAATGCTCCACTCTTCTCCCTCCGGAACACTTCAGCAGGCCCTGGCAAAAGAGGCAACACCATCACCATCGTCCCCAGGAGGCCTCCAGCAGCGGGCAAGCCTGCTACCGACCCGGGGGCTAACAGGACAGCCCCCCAGACCCAGGCGCCCATATCCGGGGATGCCAGCAAGAAAAGATACCCCACAGTCGAAGAAATAGTCGTGATTGGGGGATATAAGAAGGTAGAGAAGTCCTGCTTGTCCAAGCATGGAAAAACTCCCAAAGGGGTGAGTGCTCAATTTTTCCTAGGTCCTGTGTTTCCTTTAATTCTTTAAGACATCATTTAAAAATGACCGTTAAGCAAAATAACAACTAGAATTTTCTTAGTCACCAACACATTATTCTGCCCTCTTCATGAATTCTAAGGGGACCGCTTTTGAAATGCCATCAAAAAATATGTGTATCATTGTATAAACTATGTCACTAGTCACTGGTATTCTGAAGCTTATTTTTTTTTGCTTTGGGTGAGAATAGGAAAGAATTTCTCATCAGTCGTGGCAGCAAAGTTCTTTTTGTGATAACCTTTATTCTTTATTATGTAGCATGTCACACTATGACAAATCTTTTCATTAAATTCACAGGCAGGGTTTAATCACCAGGTTGTGCAAGAGCACATTCAGGATTTTCAGGAGATATAAGCAATAAAAAATATTTGCAAACTGGTTGTCTTTACTTTTCCAAATTTCACAAAATTGTTCTGCAGGTATTTTTTAAAAGATCTGCACTTTTTGCAGTTAGTTATTAACTAGCTGTATTGAAAAATATTTTTACTCTAGTTTTTGCGTTGTAAAGTGCTGCATTCTTGTGGTTGAGGGCATCTAAATTAAGGCTAAAAGCCTGTATTTCCAAAGCCATCTGTGGTACTGCTTAGTGTCTCAGAAAATGCTTTTCTCCAGAGAAAGCAGCAACGCTTGCAGAAGCCTTCGTGATGGTTGGTTGAACTAAGCATTTTTGCTGAGGTGCAGTAAGGATGCAACAGAAGAGCTCAACTGAGACTTAAACTTACAGTATTTAGTCACAGTGTGATGTAGCCAAGCACCACGCTAAACAGTGTTCATCATGCATAATTATGTGTCATATTTCCACCGTCTCAAGCTTGCAGAGGCCCAGCCGTTAAAGGCACAGGGACAGCTAGTGAGATGAGTGTTTTCATCCGGCGATGGACAGGAAACCGCGACAGCAAAAAAAGGCCTCCCTCTTCCTCTTCCTTTCTTTCGCTTTGTGTTGCTCTCTTTTGGCCAAACGCCGAAATGCACGAATATAACAAGAAAGAGCAGCACAGGGCTACCAGTGACGAGGCCCACACTTTATCAACAGCTCTGGAAAAAAATTGAGACCACAGCAAAACCACAATTTCAGCTTCACTCATCCTCGACCAAAGGAGACTAAGGGGATCCAGGTATATAAGATTCTAACAGGTCTGGATGCTGTTCAACCAAATGGCTACTTCAATATTAGCTTAAATACTAGAACTCGTGGCCATAAGTGGAAATTAGCGGGAGAACATTTTTAAATGAATTTGCGAAAGCACTTCTTTACACAGCTTGTAGTTAGAGTATGGAATAGTCTTCCTGTTAGTGTAGTGCAAGCTAAAACCCTGGGTTCCTTTATGTCAGAGCTAGATAAGATTTTAACAACATGGAGTGCTTTATTTCATAAAACGGGAGCCTTGCAGAAAGGAGTAGGAAAGAGGCTCCTCTGCTAGCCGGACTACGTCAGAAGCCATTTAGTCATTCCCCGGAAGAAGGCTGACGCACGTGTCCACTTCCTGTTTCATACCCACCTGCTTCCTGTGAGAGAGGGACAGTTGGCAGAACAGAGTAGAAGCAGGATGCTGGGATTGGAATGCATGTAATTAACCTCTTGCCTTCTAACTTCAGATGGTTTTATGTTCTGAATTCTTATTGGGGGCAATAATTGAATGGTGTGAATGTGTCATTTTCTGAAATTCACGAGTTGCTGAAAAACAGGTGTTTCAGTTCGTGTATGATTGACATTTCTTACATCTGCGAGCTTGCTGGGTGTTGGCAGTAGCCCGAATACCGCGGTAAACACCCAGCCGCTAAAGGCAGGCGTCATGAGAACTCAGCAGTATCATTTTGACTTCAAGCTGCGTGACTTTTCAAATTGACTAGGTAATTAAACAAATCGTCTGGTTAGCAGGTGCTTGAAGGAACATATACAGTAACTGACTGGTAAGAAGGAGCAACATGATCATTAGGATTGTGGTGCCCTGGGAAGGCGGATCCTGGTCAGGAGCGTTACACCTCCAGGCCTAATGCTCCAGGCCTAATGCTCCAGGCCTAATGCTCCAGGCCTAATGCTCCTTTAAGGCAGTTTACCTCAACCATTACATCATGCTTACATCATACCAAGAGGCTTTTTGTCTAATGTGTTACTTTGTCTCCAGTGCTCTGCTTTCTGAGACTTTATTGGTCAGTGTCCCTGTTCCCTGTTAAATTCTCAGAAATCGTCTAAATATTGCATTCATTGCATTTTGTCTGTGAACTAGTGCATTTAAAGTTAAAGGACAGCCTGAAATTTCACTGTGCCATTATCACACAACCAGTTAATAGGATATCAGACATGCACTGTTACGTACTCTTTCCATTTCATAAAGGAAATTTTTGTATTTTCATTTATAGTTGTTCACTCAACTTTCCGATGCTTAACAATAATAAAAAATCTGCAGTTTATCAAATAAGTGGAAAAGTGACGTGTAAAATGTTTTGACTGGTAGTATACTTTGTTGCAAGGTTAATGCACTGTAACGTCCAATGAGTCAGGGTGCATATACTTTAATGACCTTTATCTATGCAGTGTTGATGTACAATGGGTTCAGTTTGGAAGTTGGCTGTAGCTTATGCTGTAATAACCCTGCTTATTTCAGCATTAATCTGTGTCGTTCCTTTTGGTGTGATCCTTATCTGTATCAGCCTCTCCCAGTTGATCGTCCATTTGTCAATTGTTTTTTTTGTTGTTTCATCCCAGGTGACAGTGTGTTTCAATGAGGCACAGCTAGAACATGTGTGCGAGTACCCGTCGGAGAGTGCCATGCTGGCCTCCCTCCCCTGCCCCCCCCCAGACTCTGAGAAAGAGGCCGAGGAGAAGATGGGGGGGCAGGAGGAGGAGGAAGAGGAGGAGGAGGAGACGGGAGCATTTGCACTGAGCAGCAAGAGAATGGCTGTAGGAAAAAGCCGAGTTCTCAGAGTGGGTTAGTGGCATTCAGTTTACTGTCACCGGAACATTCTGTCAGGATCACTGTCTCTCAGGAACATGTGGGTCACATTCTGAAAATCGGTTCCAGTAGGAAATCAAACCAATAACGATTGTCTGCATATTATAGTAATGATGTCAAGAACCATTAAGGATTAGCTTTAAATCATAATAAATTACATTCTAGAATTCAAGCGATATGATACTGTGTAATTCCTAGAAATTGAATGATGGGCAAAATAAGATAAAAACATGTTTTCTTATGTCACATGTAGTGCCATTGTTCATAGTACGAAGTACACTTGAGTCATAACCAATGAATACAGACCTTGCAATACCAGATATAATTATTTGGTTCTTTATCTTAATTCTTCATCATCATCATCATCTTTCTCAGCTTCACACAGCTTCTCCCTTTGTCATTTTAATTATATGTTTCTTTATATGTAGAATTTTTGTCGCAAATTTCTATTACCGTATGATAAAGGATAATTGACATTTAATTATTAGCAATTTTAGTTGTTCCCCCACAAATCATGCAAATTATAAAATATAACATTCATTGATTATTTTTCTTTTTGTTTTTACAGATGAGTCATGTCGACGATAAATACCAGTCGATCACGGAATTCCTTAAAATATGGTTCAAATTTTAAATGTCCAGTTTGACTTAAGTGCCAATATGTATATGTTGCATGCTTGTTGTAAATGGTGATTTATTTTGTTTTTTTTTTTAATTGAATATGTTTTTTATAATTACGTGATTTCTGTTTTATCAGTATATTTTTTTCAACAGGCATATCATAAAATGCATACCTATTTCTAACTTGTGTGTAAAAAAACAAGTAGTCTACAATAATTAAATGCACATTATAAATCTATTAATGAAATTACTGAAGTACTGGAAGACATAATGATTAATGTAATCTAGATATATTCTTTGTTAATTTTGTTGCATTGCACAGAAACTGCATAGATCCACAGATCTCAACATCTGGATGGGCCCAGTGTTAATCAGACAGTGTAAATGTCAGATGATCTCTTGCACATTAAAGTCCTCTTGGGCTACAACCAGTGGTTGCATAAATACGTGAAGTATTTTAGTGTAACCCCGGCACTAGCTTGGGCTGATGCTGACAATTGGCATGCGTGTTGCATGAATATATTCTGTTGCACTAGGACGATTGAATCAAATATCAGATTTCAATTTCAAACATTTCTAAGAAGATGTCATTAACGGTTTGCATTATATTATTACACTGATAATTGTAATTTCAGTATGACCATTAATATTGATATTGCAGTAGAGAATGGTAATACTGCCATAAAAATTAATTGATTAGACACTTGCATTTCTTTCAATCAGGGAACGATAACGGTCAGATTCACAGTTTACGTTTGTGTACCCTGCTAAATCTTGAAGGGTTATAATAGGTTTATTGTGCCTGTAGAGTATTTTAATAGGAGAAACTCTGCAATGATTTTATATAGTGTTTTGAAAAATGTATTAGACGTTGATGAATGTGATTAAGATGTCTGTATTTTATGTTTACTATGCGAACACGGTGTTTTTTTATTTTCTGTTTTATACTGCGATTTTAAGAAGCTGGCTTTAAAAAAAATTAAGCACAATAAATTATTTGACTCAACGATATCAATGGATCTTCTATGTCAAGCCTTTCAAGACAGACAAACCTGTAACAGTGTATGCCCTGACATCTAGTGTACACATACTTTAATGCATATTTGACACTATACAAAACGAAAACTACATTACAAATAATTGAGTCCATTTATTACATTTTGTGATATACACTCACCTAAAGGATTATTAGGAACACCTGTTCAATTTCTCGTTAATGCAATTATCTAATCAACCAATCACATGGCAGTTGCTTCAAT